TACTTCCGGGATATTTCTTGCTCGTCGAAACTGAACCCATTGTGTGTTTATCATGGGTAGGCAGATCTTAGACTTAATAGTTGCAGTGAATGAATGTGTAACATAGAAATAAAGCATAATGACGAAAACTCTTTCTTATTTCCTATTTCTTTGTGCTTTGTCTTTTCCTATAGTAATCACCCAGTGGTATTGAAACTAGTATTTTGTCTTTTCCTAAAGTAAACTACCCTTGCATACAATAAAGCGGGAGTAGTTCACTCTAAATAGCTCGCTGTTGTGAATCAGAACACAGGAAAGGAAGTCATAAGTACTTTCATCTTTACACTTCTCAAACATATTCTGAATGTTATTTATTATGATTTGTTCATTATCAGCTCTGTGTGGAAATAAAGTCTAAAACAGAACTGATGAAATGTCGCTAAAAAGATGTGTATTATACATGTTTATGCCAGGCATATCTGTCGGTCCATTGTATAATTAACTATAGCATCACAGGATAATACTATAAAGAATCCAAATAGAACTTACCCCACACTCCGATTCGCCATTTTTCTGTTCTCAACAGCTGACACATAACCCTTGTGTTTATAAATGTACGCTATGTCTTGACTGCATATACAATATATTTACTGATCTTTACCATTTCTTTCCCTAAAGAAACTTCAGAGTTCGAAGGGAGATCCCGGTTTTCCGTTTCCTGAGATAGCACAGAGTATTGATATCATGTTTATTATGATAGATAGATTATGAAATGATTTTCAAGTAGAATGATAAGAAAAACTCTCACTATCATTTACGTACATTTTTGTATGACGTTCAGAGCACACTCCAAGTCTGATATCTCCTTATCGCTGATAAACACACAGTAGGTTCGGCCTCGAGGAACAAAAAGTAGTGAAATCCTAAAGACTGGAGCATCAGGCAGTTCTCATGAGCGCCTCCGTTTGGTTCCTTAATAAAGCTGGGGTCTCATGAACTAGAAAGGTGTGCCTGAAAATGCACATATGTAAATAGATATGGACATATAAGGATTATTCTCTGTAGTTCTCTTGTTGAGTATTGGACATCATTTTGTGTTAGTCGCCTTCTAGGGTTGAATTGGACAAAAAAGAAAAAGAAAAATAGGCTCCGATGTGGTATAGAACCATATAGAGTACTGAGCCTCAATCAAGTAGGAATACTCACCAGCATCAATCTTTAGACAGCTTTTTTGTCCATTATAGTTATTAGATTCTTGGAAATCTTGTGAGGCCGCCTAGAAGGGAGTTCCTCGCGGTACCCAGTTGCCCTTCTCCGTTGCATCTGATTCGTCCAACCAGAAGGGTCGTCCAGTGTAACCTTTCAGGCGACACGAGACTTTGAAAACCTCTGAAGATCAATACAAAAACGGATTGTCGAAGATAAGTTTTTAGGTCAAACTGCACAAACTGCGTAGGTGTAGTAATAGCTAGCAGTTCTCCCGAGGTAGACACACTTGTCTCGCATCACTATGGCTCTGTTCAGCGAAGGTAACGAACATGAGGCACTGGCTTCCTACGAGCGTGTAACCTGCAGGGCAGTTCTCGTCTCCCGAAGTCAAGTTGCCAAAGCTCGCTTGACTCAGCTGTTGGATATGCCTTCATTAGATGAAGCCACTGAGGTCGTTGTATAAATGTTATAAATTTGCACTTACTACGGCTTAGGCATTTAACATGTTAATCAGCACTTTATCCACATTTTGTATTTGCTGCTGTCGTTGCTGACATGTGCAATGAGCTGGTTAAGGGTGATCATTAACACTATATGCAAATCAGGAAAAACGTCTAATTATGTAAGATAGATTTAGAATCTTACAACGCATAATTGATAAATTAATATGTTCATTGTGCCTTTATTATCCTATTTGATTATGCTATTTTAATATTTCCCTTCGACTTTTGTAAGTGCGCTTATTAAACTTCACATTCGTAACATAGCCTCCAATAAAACCCTATTTGCGATCTTGAACAAAATATGTTAGGTGTGACAAATGGAGTTCCCAAAAGAAGTTCTAATTCTTTCCTAAAATGGTACAGAGAGCGCTGTGCATTGCCTGGCAACCGTACCGTGTTTATATTGCATTTTCTTAGGTGTTTACACTTCTGAGTTTCCACCCAAGATCTCCCGAAAACGAAAAAGAGAAAAAAAATATGGTGTTGCTTCTTTTTCACATAAATATCTGGCTCTATTCTGTCCTAACTTTTTCTTTATCAATCATTCGCGCACATGCGAGCGCGCGTGTGTGTATATACATGTATATATGTATATGTGTGTGTGTGTGTGTGTGTGTCTGTGTGTAGATTTGCATGATGGGCTTCGAATCACAGGCGATACTGATACATCGATTATTCGTAGATAGTTAAAGCAATACCATACCAATACCTACATCGCCAATATATCATCGCCGATACACTATTGTAAGAAAATATCCAAACTGGGAAGTAAATATTTCATTTGCATGTTTGATGCACTGAAAACAATGGTTGCACGTGTTTTCCAAACTTGTACATTATATGTGGCTATTTTCTTGTTTATATTGCATTTTCTTAGGTGTTTACACTTCTGAGTTTCCACCCAAGATCTCCCGAAAACGAAAAAGAGAAAAAAATATGGTGTTGCTTCTTTTTCACATAAATATCTGGCTCTATTCTGTCCTAACTTTTTCTTTATCAATCATTCGCGCACATGCGAGCGCGCGTGTGTGTATATACATGTATATATGTATATGTGTGTGTGTGTGTGTGTGTGTCTGTGTGTAGATTTGCATGATGGGCTTCGAATCACAGGCGATACTGATACATCGATTATTCGTAGATAGTTAAAGCAATACCATACCAATACCTACATCGCCAATATATCATCGCCGATACACTATTGTAAGAAAATATCCAAACTGGGAAGTAAATATTTCATTTGCATGTTTGATGCACTGAAAACAATGGTTGCACGTGTTTTCCAAACTTGTACATTATATGTGGCTATTTTCTTGTAAAATAGATTCCCAAGCAATTGCACTTGCAAATGACAGTTCCGTTTATGGCACTCAGTGCAAATATTAAGAGTATCATAAAGTCCATCGATAGATAGAGCGAGAGAGAGCGTTAGGGACAGAGAGTAAGTAACAGAGAAAGAGAGAAAGAGTAACGGAAAGAGAGAGAGAGTTAGAGGATGTATAAGCAACAGAGAAAGAGAAAGAAAGAGGGGGAGAGAGAGACAAAGTAACAGAAAGAGAAAGAGAGAGAGAGAGAGAAAGTAACAGAAAGAGAGAGGGGGGGAGCAGGGAGAGAGAGAGAGAGTGAGTAACAGAGAGAGGGATGAAGAGGAGGGGGGAGGGAGAGAGACGTAGGGGAGGGTGGATGGAAAGAGGGAGATAAAGAGAGGGAGAGTCATGTAAATGTATTGATGTATCAAATATTTTCGATAATTTTTTGAGAAAAATACCTTAGCGATATCGACAAAAAGATACTATTATTGATTAGCTATGTGTATATACACATAGCTAACACATACACATATATAGATACAGGTATACACATACACATATATGTACATATATACGCATACATATGTGTACCTAAACATACATTACATCTTTCCATGTGCATATATGTATATATATACCTATATATATTGTAACTGTTTGTTTGTATGTGTATATATACCTTTATGTATATACATACATACATACACACACACATATATATACATATATATATATATATACATATTTATGGTAGAACCCCCCCCCCCCACACACACACATATGCATATATATATATATACATTGTAGGGTTTTCTACACGAGTGTTTTACCATTCATTTATATATATATATATATATATATATATATATATATATATATATATATATATATACAATACATACATATATATATATATATATATATATATATATATGTATATATATACACAATACATATATATATATATATATATATATATATATATATATACATATACATATATATACAATATATATGTTAACCCACTGGCGCCGGGCGTCACGCATACGTGACGGGCCCACTGTGAGTTTACTTGTTTGGTTGTTTACTAACATAGATGGCTCCACTTGCACTTTTACTGCCTGTCTCATCTGTTTACCCTTTTCTTTAATTTACGAAATTATTTTGCGTTATCTTATTTTGCTGTTACTAATGTTTATAACATTATAGTAATTATAATGTTTATAATAAAAATAACCATTGATATTCATAGCACTAGTAAAAATACATTTTCCCGCCAAATGAAATCAGGTAAAGCAGAGCCATCTAGTGTAGAGAAATTTCATTAAAAAATAAAAAAAATGAGCACAGCATTTCCCCCATTTTTTGTTCATTTTTACCCGGCGCGAATGGGTTAAGATATATTTATACACACAATATATATGTAAATATATATATAAATATATATATTTACATATATTGATATATATATACTTATATATATATATATATATATATATATATATTTACATATATTGATATATATATACTTAGATATATATATATATATATATATATATATATATATATATATATTTACATATATTGATATATATATACTTAGATATATATATATTTATAATTATTAATATATATAAACACTCATATATATATGAATTTACATACATTATATATATTTATTTAAATATATATATACTTATGAATATATACAGTATATATATACACACTCATATATATACATATATATACATGTATGCGTGTGTGTGTATAACATATCTATAAGAAGACGAATAAGAAATACGAAGACTTTCTCCACTTTAATCTTTTAAATTTTTTTATTTTTTTATTTTTTTTTGTCTATTTTTCCACCATTGCAGGTAAAATCAACTTCCATAAACAAAAATGAACAAAAACCTCTCTAGAAAAAAGGCATAACAAAAAATCACATCCGTCAAGTAATTTGCAATAGACCATTAAAGGAGTAAATTAGACATTGATAATAATCTTCATCTTTTTATTTTTTGTATCCGCATTACACACTCACACACTCCAAGTATAACATCTAAGGCTGTGCTTATCCATTGTAAACACAAAGTGGGTTCAGTTTCGAGGAACAAGCTACGTCCCGGAAATAATAAGAACCTCCAGAATGCAACATCAGGCAGTTCTCATGAGTGCCACCTTGAGGTTCCTGCACGACGCTGTCTCCATGATATAGACCCCAGAAAGGTGTGCCTGAAAAGTTTAGATCAATATCTACGTGGTACTTTATTCTCCGGTGTTCGTGTAGGAAGTTACGGTGTATGGTAAAGTAGTGGTTTAATCAAGGGCGGCAATCACCCACCTCTAAGACTCTGCTTGTCCTGTTATGTTACACTATAAAAATGCATAATCACCATGGAGCCAGTTACTAGTACCTATCTTACTTGAATACTCTTTCACATGAATTTAGGGAAGATTTTCCCATAGTATCATAGTAACCACAATATCATTAGAATTTTTTTTTTTTCCGAAAACTCAAGGAGAGAATAAACTAGGTGAGGTCACGTAGGCCTACATATTGGCTCGTTGGTAACCAAGCACTTGTTGGAGCCATCTATGTGCTTACAAAATTTGCAAAAGAAAACGGTAGACAGTGTGATTATCCGGCAGCTTTGCGTTAATAGAACGAGAAAGGTGAAGTGAAAAATGAATAAGCAGTTTGGAAGCACTTGAAAAAAGGTGAGGACTAGGGTAGACTTACCCATTGGGACAGACTCTCCTGTGGTGTAGACCCAGTTTCCTTCACTGGAATCAGAGCCACCCAACCAGAAGCTGTGGTCTGCTATATCTGATAAATTAAACTGTGGTCACCAAGGGGCTGAGATGCAATTGGTTATTGCAGAGCATAGTTAGGTAATTAGAAGTTTATAGGAAAATTAAGAAATATACTGTAAGATCCTCTACCTAATCTAATGATGGTAAATAGGACTTCAGACCAAAAATATTGTGAAGTAAAGGCAATTACCCATCTGATAACCTACTTTCCTCGTGCAAGTAGAGGTACACAGCTCTTAGGACTTCAGCATCAGTGATAGCCAGGAGGTCGCTCGAGTCTCCACATGTCTGCTGAGCCTCGTGCCAGGTCTCCTCCGCCCACATGACGAACATGAGGCAAAGGCCTCCCACCTCCACGAAGAAGGCTGGACATTGGCCACTGTACACATCCATGTGAACTGCCTTTGGAACTTGAGTGGTTGTGGCTAAGTCTCGCTTATCTGTTTTAAGTTGTCAATGTTTTTTATGAGAAAAAAAATGTACACAAGTATTTCACTATGTTAAGAATACAGACTTGTAGAATTAGGTGCCTTTACCTTGCTTTTGAAGACTGTACTGGCATATGAAGTTGATTTTGCTCTCGCAATCTACATCATTCAGATAGAAAAACTCGGGAGACGACAACTCTAGACAATGTTCTCTTCCATGGTCGTTATCAGGCTGTTGGAAGTCCTGGAAGGCCGCCCAGAAGGGAGTTCCTCGAGGGACCGCCTGGCCAGAGGAAGTCACCCAGTTGCCTTCCATCTCCGCGTCCGATCCATCCAACCAGAACTGTCGTCCAGTGTAACCTTTGAGACGAGACACCATGAAAATCTCTGAATATCAGTGAATAGTTGACTGAAGGAGACAGCTGAAGGAAAAATAACAATATGATCTAAAATACTATGATGCATGCTGTGGCAAACTACTTGCAACACTGACATAGCTTGTGTGTGCATTTAGCATGAAGTTTGGAAAAGGTATCACTATACCTAACGTTATAGAAATCCTCACCGTAAGCATAGATATGATTTACAACGTGCACAAACTGCGTAGGCGTAGTAATAGCCAACAGTTCCCCTGAAACAGAGTGACACGTCTGTTTCGCTTCCCTGTGATTTTCCTCAGCGAAGGTGACGAACATGAGGCACTGGCTTCCCACGAGCAAGTAACCTTCAGGACAAGACTGGTCTCCCGAGGTCAAGTTGGCAAAGCCCCAGAAGAGTTCCTCGCTTGACTCAGCTGTTGGATATGCCTTCATTAGATTAGATGTTATAAATTTACATTTACTACGGCTTAGGCATTTAAGATGTCAGTCAATATTTGATATACATTTTGTATTTGCTGCTGTCGTTGCTGACATGTGCAATAAGCAGGTTAAGAGTGTTCATTAACACTATATGCAAATCAGGAAAAACGTCTACTTTATGTAAGATAGATAGAATCTTACAACGCATAATTGATAAATTATCTCACCTGCGATAAAGCATATGGCAAAGACCAATGCCAAATACCGAAATATTTTATTTGCAGTGACCATCCTGGTGGATCTGAAATTAATAGGATAAATACGATAAATGACTGATATGTAGGTTCACGTTACTCCTTGGAAATGTGGGAACTCTTCCTTTTCTGTTTTTCATTTGATGTATATATAATTTTGGTGTGTCTGACTCATACTGTACGTATATTGTCCCTTCAGTTAGATTTTCGTTGAGGTTGTTCATTGTACCTTTATTATCCTCTCTGTTTATGAGATTTTAAAATTTGCCTAAACTTTTGTAAGTACACTTAATTAGCACATGGAGTTACCAAAAGAAGTTCCTAGTCTAATTCTTACCTAAGATGTTACAACGAGAGCTATGCTTTGCCTGGTAACTGCAACATGATTATATTGCATTCTCTTATCAGCTGTCTACACTTCTCAGTTCTGGGTTTCCACCCAGGCTGAGATAAAGACTGAGATAAAGCAGATGCTGCTTCTTGTTTTCCCCGTAAAATTGATATATTTTTACATAGCGGCTTTCCTCCTGCCGATGGTCTCCTCGCTTCCCGCATCCTCCTCCATCTCCCTTATGTTGGCCACCCTGGGCTTAACCCGCCCGATCCTCAAACCTACATGACCTCACTTTGCTTCCCTTTGCCTCTTCAGACCTGAAGATGGAATCCATGCGGAGATAATCATTATTGGTGGTTCCCAACCCACTATCGTATTTGTGATAGACTTACCCAGTATATGCCAACTCCCTGAACTACAAGGCAGCAGTCCGGCACTCCTGTGGTATCCATGTTAGACTCACCCAATGTATATGTATTATGCATATACATGTATATATGTGTGTGTGTGTGCACATATGTATGTACGTATATTACACACACACACACACATATATATATGTATATGGAATATAAATATGGATGGTATAACACTCTACTGTGTTGAAACTACGATATAATACCCTACACTATAGATATGTGTATGTATATGTATATATATATGTGTGTGTGTGTGTGTGTGTAAGTGTATGTATGTGTGTGTGTGTTCGATTGCGTGTGTATGTATATGAATGCATGCATGTATACATGTTTTTATAGTATGAATATATATAAACATTATATATATATGTGTGTGTGTATGACAATGTGTGTATATATTTATGTATATATGTGTATACACACACACACACACACATATATATATATATATATATATATATATATATATATATATATATATATATGTGTGTGTGTGTGTGTGTGTGTGTGTTTGTATATATACACATACATAAGCACACACACAAATATATATATATATATATATATATATATATATATATATATATATATATATACGTGCGCGCATACAACTGACAGAGATAAATTGAGGACAGAAAAGAGCAAACAGAAAAATGTATAAAGTTAATGTATAAATTTTACGTGGAAAACAAGAAGCAGCACCTGCTCTACCTCAGCCTTTCTTGATTTCGGAAGAGCCTGGTGGGAACCCTGAACTCAGAAGTGTAAACAGCTGATATGAGAATGCAATATAATCACGTTGCAGTTACCAGGCAAAGCACAGCGCTCGTTGCAACATCTTAGGTAAGAATTAGACTAGGAACTTCTTTTGGTAACTCCATGTGCTAATTAAGTGTACTTACAAAAGTTTAGGCAAATTTTAAAATCTCATAAACAGAGAGGATAATAAAAGTACAAGGAACAGCCTCAACGAAAATCTAACTGAAAGGACAACAAACGTACAATACGAGTCAGACACACCAAAATTATATATACATTAAATAAAAAAAGAAAGAGTTCCCACATTTCCAAAAAGTAACGTGAACCCACGTATCAGTCCTTTATCGTATTTATCCTATTCATTTCAGATCCACCAGGATGGTCACTGCAAATAAAACATTTCGGTATTTGGCATTGGTCTTTGCCATATGCTTTATCGCAGGTGAGATAATTTATCAATTATACGTTGTAAGATTCTATCTATCTTACATAAAGTAGACGTTTTTCCTAATTTGCATATAATGTTAATGATCACACTTAACCTGCTTATTGCACATGTCAGCAACGACAGCAGCAAATACAAAATGTAGATTAAATGTTGATAGTCGTAGTAAGTGCAAATTTATAACATTTATACAACGACCTCAGTGGCTTCATCTAATGAAGGCATATCCAACAGCTGAGTCAAGCGAGGAACTCTTCTGGGCCTTTGCCAACTTGACCTCGGGAGACGAGAACTGCCCTGCGGGTTACATGCTCGTGAGAAGCCAGTGCCTCATGTTCGTCACCTTCGCTGCACAGACCCACAGTGACGCGAGGCAAGTGTGTCACTCTGCCTCGGGAGAACTGCTAGCTATTACTACACCTTCGCAGTTTGTGCACGTAGTAAATCATATCCATGCTTACGTTGAGGATTCCTATAACGGTAGGTATAGTGATACATTTTCCGGGCTTCATGCTAAATTCAAACACAAGCTATGTCAGTGTTGCGAGTAGTTTGCCACAGCATGCATCATAGTATTTTGGATCATATTGTTATTTTTCCTTCAGCTGTCTCCTTCAGTCAACTATTCACTGATATTCAGAGATTTTCATGGTGTCTCGTCTCAAAGGTTACACTGGACGACAGTTTTGGTTGGATGGATCGGACGCGGAGAACGAAGGCAACTGGGTGACTTCCTCTGGCCA